CATAACAGGAAATTAAGGACCCATCCATCAGTTAAACTATCCGTCTCTTGGGAATGAAACACTTTAAAACAAAATGTGTTCATAATCATTTCCCATTCATTGATTACCTTGTCCTCCATTTTTGTAGTCATGTCATGTAGACTCCTGAGTGTGTCCCTGTGTTTTGAACAATCTTTATAATGACTCAGTTCATTGATTTGATGTCAAATGTTACACTTTGCATTCATTTGTGATGTGTCAATCACATTTTCTAACAATACAATTATTATTAATGTCATGTAAATGTCTTACCCCCAAAACACACCAGGAGCGTCTGCGTCGCGTTACGGCCGCGCCGCGGCGGTCGTAAGGATCGCGGCCACTCTAGTCAATGGGTGCTATTACACCACACGCGCCGGGTTACGGCTCACACGCGCCGTGTTACGGCTCAGACGCGTCCCAGAAGCGGCTCGGCGCAGCGCTTCTCTAAAATTAGGATGAATCCTATTGTTGCCGCGGCGCAGCCGTAAGGTAAACTCCTCCCCCCATCCCCCCGTAGTCTTTCAAGTAGGAGAATACATGCCAGCGTTCTCCTCCGGTTTACAGGCACTGTAAATGATATATATAGAATAATTATGATGATGAATGCATATTTTTTTACCACTAAAATACAGCAACACATCTTTGATTCATGTCGTTTATAACTGGAATATTACAATTATTATTAACTGTGTCTGTAGTCTACAACACAACAAAATAGGAAATAACAACAATAAACACGATTTAAAGAGACACAAACATAAACCATTTAACTACGTATAGCCTACTTACTTGTAGAAGTACAAATGTCCAGGAAATATTCCAAAATCAACAACAACTGCGAGGCTGCACACACGACGCTCCGCTTCCGCAACGTTTTGAAACGCGTCTGGTGTGTGTTGACGCAGGAGGAGGTCGCAGCGTGGCGTAGCCGCAACGTAACGCGGCGCAGACGCTCCTGGTGTGTTTTGGGGGTTAACATTAGGCATCATCTTTAAAAACAACCCAAATGTGTTTTACTTTCATGCCAGCAGTAGTAGGAAACTCATTTTGCTCTGCTCATTTAAATCTCCCTGGGAGGTATATTCAACATGATAACGTGAGGTTTAATGATCTGCTTTAAAACTGGAGACATTTAATTCACCTTTAGAGGTACATATTTTTCCAAATGTAATCTGGCATTGGCCTCCAGAAGAAGATTAGCTTCTGGATTTCATGCACATGGGAGTAATGTTCTCCTGCATGCTTGGACCCGGACGCTATCAAAATGCTAATGAAGGCCTTCGTACTCTGAAAACCCAGCGGCCATGAGTTACTGTGCAGAATGAGGGACGCATGTATGCACAGTATACCCCCCCCCCCCCCCCCCCACACACACACACATACTAATTAACTTGTCATAACCTGCGCCGAGGGAACAATCGTGAGAGGGACAGAATAGATGTTCCTCTTCGCCTGTACGCTGAATTCGTCTGCTAAGTGAGGGTAGTTTTCTTTGGCTGTCATATTTCAATTTGTTTGATCATCCTGGTGTCGAAGCAGCTCCTGATCTGGAAGCAGAGCTCACGCACACACACATGTAAATTGTAAGGATACATTATCACTAAATAATTATGTGAGGTATACGAACAGTGGGAGGATTTCACTATTGGTGGGACATTGGGATTAAAGTTAGAGATTAAAAACTTGTAAATACTTCTTGTAAGAGTTTTACATTTTATCAGCGAATTTGATGACCATTGTTATCACACCAGACGTGGCAAAAAATACGACATTCACCTTTACACATGTTGCAATGTGTTGCATACTGAATTTTTTCAATATTATAGTTATTATCTAAGGCAGGGGCGGTTCTAGGGGGGCCAGTGCCCCCCTAACACTGACATTTGACCCCCCTGTGGCCCCCCTAACAATGAACTTTTTAAAAAAAATGTATATTTTCTGGTACTCGGTTTGCCAAAAACCGAAGGATTTTGTTGCTGTAATGTGAGATTGTGCAGACACCCTTATGTAAAGTAGAGATGTAACTGTTCATTGCCTTTATTTTTATATAAATATGGTGTGAGTGCAAACATTGCACTATAAACTAAGCTGAAGCTAACAGTAATAACTATAAGATCTATCTGAAATAAATAAGTGTACTGAAACAAATACCAATAACTGTATTGCATTGTTTTCTTATGCGCAATTACTTCATACTGTCTAGTTCTCTTTTTCGTCCTGCATTTATTGTGCCCCCCTCAGAAAATAACTGGCCCCCCAGTGGCCCCCCCAGTCAAATTGGTCTAGAACCGCCACTGATCTAAGGTACCTTGATGTTGCAGCTGGTAAAAGTGGAGATACATTGGTTCAATGTAATTAATTTACCCATATTAATACTGTTTATCATAGTTTATTTCTTGCCTTACATTTTGTATTAATAATCTGAATCTGTAAATGTAGTCAAATAAATGTAGGAAAGAAAAACGTACATATTGACATATTTGTAATGCTATGTAAAGTAACATGTATACAGGAAAGAGTATTGACTAGCATCACATGGATAATACATAAGTTGAGTACAAGTGCCTCAAAACTTAAGTACAGTACTTGAGTAAAAGTTACTTCCCACTGGTTCTGGTCCGTAAAGACTTGAGTAATGAAAATAGTTGGCTTTATCCTCTTCATGTCGCTCCAGGTCAGAATACTCCATTTTTGTAAACCTAGCAATTTTTTGCCAACACAGAACTTTGTCCTCTAATCCGTTCAAATATTTAAAGTTTGCAGTTGCCTGACACACTGTAGGAGTGTTCCCTGAAAAATTGATATTGCTTTTATTCACTCTGTTGCACACTGTCACCCAACAGTGCTTCCTACAAATAGGAACCATAACTTTTTTTTTTTTCCAGCAGGAGGAAAAGAAGTCTCATCTGCTGCCAGGCTTAAACAGATGACGGTCTCCAAAGCTTATTCCAAGAATCCATGATACATCCTCCAGAGCGCTCACATAATATGGTGACGCGAGAAAGCGGTCACTGCGACAAACTTGGACTTAAATACTGGGTGAATTTCTGACTTCCTGACTTGGATAAAAACCTGCATATTATCAGCCATGCAGGTAGGAATTAGAAAATACGTTAGCGAGTTGCATATGGTAAATGGACTGTACTTATATAGCGCTTTATCCAGTCTTTACGACCCCTCAAAGCGCTTTACATACTACATGTCATTCACCCATTCACACCCATTCATACAGAGCAGTACCACTTGCTCTAGGACCTAACATTCACACACATTCACACACACCGTTGGCCATGCCATCGGGAGCAACTCAGGGTTAAGTATCTTGCCCAAGGATACATTGACATGTTGGCTGCATGGGCTGGGATCGAACCCACAACCTTCTGGTTGAAAGACGACCGCACTCCCTCGCAGCCACAGTCGTATAGAAATGTCACTTAATTTCAAAAGTAAAGGAGCTGTGTGTAAAAGTATACTGGAGCCAGTTGTGCTATTAAATCAAAGCTGCAGATGCACACAAACAAGCTTCAATATAACACTGTTTCTTGGCTGCATGAATAGTAAAGAGAATGAAAACAGTGTGGAAATCTGAAGAGCCTTTTGCCTGTTTTGGTTGCATGTGTGGGAAGAGTTTATGTGGCGAAACACTGAATCACCACGGGTCTCCAAGGTGCCTTATATTCTGCCTGTGTGCATGAGTGGAATCTAATCATTGATCCCCTCTGGTAATCCATCCAGCAAATACTTAAACTTTGAATATTCAAAAGCTGCTCAAAATGCAGCAGTAAACATGATAGTTAAAAAAAGGAACAGCTTCTGACTAAGGAAATGATTTGTTTAAAGAGGCCCTATTATGCTTTTTGAAGATGTCTCTTTCCTGTGTGATTTGTGTGCATGTAAATGGTCTGAAAAGGCTCAAATCCCAAAGTCTCTCCAACACATTGTACGTGATTTGCCATGGGACATTTCTGACACATCTCTAAGCGGTTGACCAATCACAACAGAGACAGCCAGCTAACCAATCAGAGCAGACTGGGCTCTGGTTTCAAACAGAGGGTGAAAAGAGGTGCTGCAGCACAGGCAGTATGAGAACAAATTATATATTCACTCTAAAAACTTCAGAATAGGGACAAAATCATTGAATGGCTGTCGCAATAAAAAAAGGCAGAGCATTGAGGAAATGGCATCAACAATTTGGTTTTATCATTAGTATTCCTCAAATGGAATACATTATTGTAAGGGTCATTTGTTTGGGAGCTTTCATTTTTAAAAAAGGACCAGAAATTAATTTCCATTTCAGCTTTTCAAAAATGCAATGTACTATTGTACTGCAATGTACTATTAATCTAAATTTAAAATGTGCTGTTGTTTTTCAACAGCACATTTTAAATTTAGATTAATATGCAAAACTTTATCAAGAATAAGCTACTACGCATACATTTAAGTCATAAGCAGAACGGCAGCGTAACGCCTTTTGCAAACGCTGTAAAACGAGCAATGTTGGAGTCACGATGGTGTCCACACTTTCTCATTGATGCACTCTGAATAAAAAGCCATTCTGTGGTCATTAAAGAGAAGAAGGCATCATTAGCGGTGGCAGGTTGTGGCAGAGCGCTGCATGATGAGTGTGCAGCCTGCCACTCCGCCTGTGAGCCATAGAGCTGTTTTTCTGCAGTAAAGCCAGCTGCAATTGGTCCCTGTAGAGAGTTAATTACCTCCCTGACACCATATCAATACATATTTGAGGAGAAAAGAGGTTCCCGGGGGTAAACAAAGAGAGCCTGCTTCCTTCAACCATGAAATATGGGAGAAATAAAGCTGCAAGGAAAGCGTTTTTTAGAATCTCTTAGTGGAGATAAAAAAATAGGAAAATGAAAGAGTGTTTTTCAGGCAGTAAATGTCATGCATCCTGGACAAGTGGACGTTTGTGGTAAAGGTGAAAAGATCGATAATGGACGGAATAAAACGAAGAGTCCTTGTGATTCAGATTCAGAGCGTTTTTCTTTAATAGTTCACCAAAAACAGCTGCTGCTTGCGTCGCCATTCCACCCGACACAAACAGGAAACTACGACAGGAACTTCACGGCAGTTTTACAAACACACAGGCACAGAAATGACAAGCCTCCTTTCGTTTCTAAGCTTCTCTAGGTGTTCTTCAGAAATGTTGTACGGGGCAACTTTGGACAGAAGAGGGAAAATAAACATTACAGAGGACACGAAGGAGATTCAGAGGCCGGTTATATTCTCTCAAATCACAGATAAAAGGATGATTTATGACAGGAGCTGACCTTAGAGTTAAAGACCAAGCAGTTAAGAATAATCTCTCTTATCATGAGTGATCTTTTATGGGAGAATGTTTAATATAACAGTGAACAATACGAAAAGCAATAACCATAACAGTCTTGTACATCCTTGTTTTTTGGCAAGACATGCATTTTACAGTGTTTGATGGGATTTGACCACCTTCAGATCAATAATCTCATATATCTGCAGGGTACAGACACAAAGGGTGAAAAAAAAAAAGGTACAAACGAGGTGCATTGATTAATTACATTAACGACATTTGATTTTTGCAGAATATCAGTTGCATTTATGCCATGACAGTGATCTGTGCCCCCTGTGGAAGCAGTTTTTCGGGGTCTCATCATCTTTTGGCTGTGAGTCAAAGAACATGGGAAATATAGAAGAATGTTGTGGTGAAAGCTACAACAATCCCAGGACCTCTGGATATTCTCTTCCTTCTTTTTACCATTTTGATTCACTTAAACTAAAGGGTTTGTTGAAACAGAGTGGAAGGGGAGAACCAGCCAAAAACATTTTTACAATATAAAAAGATGTTTCTTTAAATGGTTCATTACTGATTCATAAAGCATTGAGTAATCATTTAATATAACCTTCTTTAAAGATTTCATAAAAAGTCTTCATGCTGCTTTTATATTTTAACTGGGATTTCCTTTATCTCAGAGTTATCTGGGGCCAAGGCAGACGACCACTTATACCTCAAGTGCTGAGAATGAGCACGTTTCCGCTGAGTGTTCGGAGCTACAAATATTTCAACTTTCAGCTAAGCAGAAAAACACAACGTCCAGTATCGTCCCATAGCAACAGCAGAACATGTCCCGCATGACCCATTTTATCCTAAGTTAACTCAGTGCATCTGCAAAACAAATATTTGCTCTATTGACGCGCAAACATCATAACAGAAAACATTTCTCCGGGAAGCCTAAATAACTGAAGTGTGTTTTGATTTAATCCAACAGTCTGATTTAAAAGTCCAAAATCTCTTTTCTGTTTATGAGGGAAGAAATGTCGGACTTTTCGTTGGTGAGGGAAGTTAAATTATGCTAGTATGAGATGCAAAACCAAAATAAATTAAAATCAAAAACAGAATTGGCTTATTTTTTTTAAGAAAAACATCGCTTTTCTTTTGAGCACAATAAACCGTCAGACTTTGGTTCTAGATGGTCAGAAAGAAAATCAACAACACATAATACAAATGATAAAAAATCTGTTTAAACAACAAATATCTTTCTTTTTTTAACATTCAGTCATCCATAGCTTTGATAAATAAACAAAGGAATGTATTTAAACAGGTGGATGATCATATATATACACACATCATTTTGGTAAATAACATATATTTTTATATACTAAATACCAAAATATCAAACACTGTCCTTCCTTGTTTTGTGTCACTAGCGTGTCACGCCATCTCTTAGTGCCCTGAAGTGTTCTGAATAATCAGTTTCTTTTAGAGCAAACGCACACAGAGAAAGCCTCTTCATCTCAAACCTTAACCATGTCAACAAAAGAAAGGTTATCAGAAACAAAGACATTACAATCATTCTGTACATGGCCATGCTGCAATACAAAAGAGTTCACCCTGTTTGTGTGTAACGATACAGTAAACAGACAAATTGCTTGCCTCAACATATAAAAGTGGAAAAAAAGACAGAAGCATCCATCTCTGCGGACACGAGAGATATTCAAAAGCGGATAAATCGATACAGCCGTTATTAACTGGAACCCTGCAGCGCACGCCCACTCCTGACCCGCTACTGACCCATTACTCTCTCTCTCTCTCTCTCACACACACACACACACACTCGAGCCCGTATCCAACCGGTTTTTAAATTAGGGAGGTATTAGGATGAAGGGAGGGCAATGTGTGTGGGCTGTGGTCAGGTCTTTAAAGGACGAGGGTCTGCAGGTCAGGGTGAAAAGTAGATGGAGAGTTCGATGAAAGCAACCGTGGGAAAACAAAGGCTACTGCAGAAAGAAGGGAAAAGTACAAACAAGACTGTTGCCTGCAATGTCTATTTTTCATTATGTTTATCCAAAGAAGCAGTTTGGCATTTTTGGCGTTCAATGTTCTTAGTTAACCGTCGTTCAGAATGCAAGCAGATATAGTTCCCGAAATGTCAAATTAGTTCATTTTTGACCCCGTCATTCAGTTCTAAACACAGCATTTTGAGACATTTCATGGTAGCATTCTACTTAAAAAGGAAACACAACATTTTCATAACCAATTAATGAATTATTACAATCGCAAGACAAAGTGACGTCTTCGCATTTGGTTTAAACCAGCAGTCCAAATCCCAATGAGATAAGATTTACAAAAATATCAACAGGAAATAAAGAACATCAACAAAAACTTTTTTTGCTCAACACTAAAATCATCAACTGTTTCAGCAACCTCTTAAGACTTAATAAAGAAACTTCCTGTAACATGACAGCATGAATGAACAATGCAATCCTTGGTTAGTCCTTTTTTTGACAATCCTTTCTCAAACTGCATAACAGCAACAGTTGGTTCTGAACAGGAACAGATTGTATGAAAGGGGGGGGGAAAGTCTTTTGATTTTGAGTTTCCCAGACTGCACAGTTAATTCCTGCAGCATCAGAAAAACGGCGAGCAGCCAAGTCCGAACTCTTTGTACTGCAGCACCAGCTGGAGAGACGCCGCCTGGAACCGACACTCAGCGAAACAACACTATGATAACTGATGCACTTCTACAAACCACAGAATAAACAGGCAATCCAACGGCTGGAGTCTGAGTGCCACATCGGCCCCGCGCCAAAAAACAAATCAGCTGGCCAAAAAACATTTCTGGAGTAAATCCCAAAGCGTTCGTTCAAAGGAAATGGAAGGGCAGTAAAAGGACGGGAGAGCAAAGTGAATGTTTGTTTCTGTATCCTTTTTCATTTCAGTCTCCCAAATAAAAGAAAAAACAGGTCACAATGGCAGACCGTTAGTGGATCTCCTCCCTGCCCTCTTCTTCATCACTTTCTCTCTTTGTATTTTCCGCCCATGATGTGAGTTTCCCCTCAGCAGAGTCCCATTCTGAGGAGAGGCCGGGCCGGTGGGGGGAATCCAGGGGGGGGGGGGGGGTCCGCGGCAGTCCGAGCATCCTCCTCCCTCGCTCTCAGCCGCAGGAGATGACCGTGAAGCGTTTGGAGATGCAGGACATGTTGTGCAGCACGATGCCCAGGAGGAAGAGCAGCACGCAGGCCACCAGGATCACCGTGCACACGCCCGACCACGTGGAGCCCTTCCCCGCTCCCCCCCCCGGGCCGGTGACTCTCCTCTCGCCCTCGCCTCCGTCCAGCCCCATCCCCACCGCCTCCAGCCCCATAGCCAGGCCCAGGGGCTGCTGCTCGGGCATGGTCACCACCGTCACCCCCTTCTGCTGGCTGCCGGGCAGGAAGCGGCACCCCAGCTCCCCCGACAGCCCCAGAGCCCGCTCCTTGGCGAGGGGCAGCGGCAGCATGTAGCAGCCGTTGCTCGGGAGGCGGATGAAGACGGGCGTGTGCTCCGAGGCGTGAGGGATGGCGATGACGGTGATGATGTCGGGGTCGTCGGGGAGCTGGGAGACAGACAGGCCCGGGGGGAGCTTGGTGACGCAGCGGCACCAGGGGCAGCGGATCTCCTTCTGGCTGGTGCGCATCTGGGTCAGACACACGGAGCAGCACGTGTGCCGGCAGTCCAGGAGCTTGGGCCGCCGGCGGGGGCTGTAGTAGTTAAAGCAGATCTGGCACTCCAGAATGGAATCTTGGGAAAGAGTTTCCATTTTGAAGAATATGGGAAGGTGGTCTCTTGTTGTATAAGCAATTGTTCTAGAGAGGTATGCACAACAGGTTAAGAGAAAGTCCAGGTGAAGTTAAGAAAGAAAACTGTCAACAAACGTCCACAACTCCACAGTGATGTCACAGCTTTGTGGTGGCAACATAGTCATCCATCTGCAACAGAAGAGAGAGAAAGCATGGTTGAGACACTTGAAGACAAACATCTTTAAAGACTGCAGTAAAAAATGTTTAGTACTATACGATATATTTTTTCTTTCATTAATAGAATTAGTCCTGACATGCATTTGTTGACATGAGGATGAACTGGGCAACATGTTGGTGAGTAAAGTCACACAGCATTCTTCTTAATATTTAACAGAAAGCTATATCCATCTTAGCAAATCTGGACATTATAACGAATGTCACATCTAGTCAGAAATACAAGTTCTGAAAAGGATGTGTAACAAGTTCAATACAAATTCTCCTCGATCTGAAACCGTAAAAGGACAGCAAAAACAAGTTCTCCAACACTCAAAATTGCAAAATACATGTTCAAACTTAAATCTGACAGGGTCGTTCAAAACTAAGTGTGTGCACGTATCAGCACTTTGCATTTGAAAAATACAAATGCAACACTTGAATTGAAAGAGCTAAAACTTGTTATTGATGCAAAACGTCCAAAACCTTTTTACAACTGAACTGAAACGACCCTCAGGGAGCTGCAGCGGTCAGCAATGCATCATGGATGATAGGCTCATTTTTATGTACAGCACAGCGTACATCTCCGCCGCCAGTTGGCTGCTGAGGGGCGAGTTCACGAGACCCCTGGCCTCCGTATCCGTGGTAAGTACGGTTAATTCTTTTAACTGTCTCCTTCAGGCCACAGACTCCATAAACAATTCCTGCCTCCTCCCACTCCTCTTGCATAATCACATCTTCCGTGTTAATCCATGCGGAAGTCGTGATCGTTTCCTTTTACAGATGATTAAACACCGTCAAAATAGCAGCGAGGAAACAATGAATACCAAACAGGGCCCTGCCGACATTTCGCTTTATTTTTTCCATCCAAATTGTCAAGTGTGAAAACTGCTGAAGAGGGAAGATGATTTTTTTTTGCGCTGCCATCGCAACAGAGCCGGTGTCCCTCCGGGGCTCGACTGTGTGGAGACAGGGAGAGTGAAGAGGGGGACAGATGGAGGCTAGAGATGGAGAGAAATAGTGATATAAATGGAAGAAAGGTGACCAGTGATTGTCTTGCAACACCGTACATCGCAGTCCATTATCAAAAACAAGATCTCAGGCAATTAGAGTCGTCATGGCGCCCTGTGGGGACACAGACGTGGCAATGACAGATAAGAGTGTGCTCACACCAGACGTGATGGAGCGGTTTATTCAGTCTGGACTCCTTTAGTCTGCTTTATATCGATGAGACGGCTGATCAAATTCGACCTTGGGCAGTGGTAAATAAATGCAATATGATAGGTTTGATTGCATTTTATCGAAGTGAAATCCCACATAGAATCCGCTTATCAAAACCTGAATGCTTTGCAAAGCGTTTTATCGATCGACCCATCAAATATCTAGGTCCACAACTTCATTGCAGCAGCTTTAAGGTATCCAAGATGCCCTTGTCCGCAGCCGCGTCCTCCAGCTCTGCCCGGGGGGTTCCGAGGCATTTTCAGGCCATATGGGATACTCCCTGAGGGTCTGCCCTAAGGTTTTCTCCAGGTTGCCCAGAAAACCTCCTTGGTAGGCATCCAGCAGGCATCTTGTTTAGAAGCCAACACTTTTCTTTCAGAGGATTTACTAGTTTTGACTACTATGACTAGTTTTAAGAGAGTTTATAGGAATGCATCCCCTCGTTCGCCCGTCTAGATTCTGACTTTGTTAAGTAGCTATGATCAAGTTATCCACAAAAAACTATAACATTGTCATCAAAATGTAGTGTTTCTGCAATCAGTGTCAGACTTACTCATAATTAGTTCAACGTCCTATCAAATAAAGGCTTAAAATGTGTACAAAATAGCACTTTTATTCAGTTGAGGTATAGGAATCTGTATTGATACAGAAAACACATGGCTATAGCAACCACCTAGTCTTGTAATGTTTCAATATTTTTTGATGAACTAGAATGTATTAACGAAAAAGTGATTCTTCATTTATCCAGTAAAAATCGCCAAAAATGTAAAACAATATATAACAGTAAGTCTCACTAGGATGCCTCATCAAGGTGGAATATGTGTGTGTCCATTTAGCAGTAAGACAACAGGAAGTGACCTCAGAGTTTCCTTTACAGTCATGTCAAGCGATCAATGGTAGTCTTCCTCATGTACGTCTCCTTCCTTCTCCCTCAGCAGCACCCCCAGCCCTCCCTCAGGGCCAAACATCTCCTCTCCAGACCCTCTGCCTCCTCACCCTGCCTTCCTCTGCTGACCTAGTTTCTCCGCACTGATACCGCGTCAAAGTCAATGGGAAAGTGCAGAAAAACCTGGCAGTTTCACGAAGGAGTGAGGAGAGAGGAGCGCACAGGAGAGGGAAGCAGAGACAGGGAGCTGCCCTTGAGGGGGAAGACAGCCCTGGGTATTACTGAATCCTTTTCCAAAAGATAAGGATTAGCTTTGATCTGACATAAATGCTTTGTGGCTCAATATTCCCATACACCCAGTCACTCTTCCCTTCTTCATCCTTCCCTTCTCCTGGATAAGCTTTTCCTCTTCTTCACCGGGTGTATTATTTCCCTTTTCCTAACCTCAATTTTCTTTCTTTCCACCAGTACATTTTCAGTGATTTCCTTCATTTCAAGGAGTAAAGTAAAACTGAAGAATACATACAAAAGAATATTATCAAATCACAAGAGGAAGTGATTTTTTACGTGTTACACAAGTGAACTTGGTGCTATGCAAAAATCATAACTCCAGAAATGAGCTGTATTTTCAAAAAGATTCACTCAAAATGAGCAATACGTGCATGAATTACCTCACATCAATGTGTCCAAAACAAGAGACATTATGCAGGAATAGTAGCTGCAGGGCTGCAAATGACAATTTCATTCACTTTATCAGTTATTAATTTTCTATTTTATTGATTGATTAATTATTTGATCCACGAAAAGACAAAGAATGCCCACTAGTATTTCCAAAATTGCCACGCCTTTAATAGAAAACTAAGAGAAATGTAGCAAGTATTTCTCTTTGAAATCTATTTTGGAAGATTTGTTCTATCATTATCACCGAGCTGCCATCCGAGGATGTCTTTTACAGTTTTCATTGCTGCTCACACAGAGGTGAGTGGGATGGAAGAGATCTTCTGAGGTTACGATGAAAACAAGGTCCTTCAGGGTCACTTTTCTCTGAATCCAAAGAAAGTGCATGTGCTCTTCAGGAGCCACCACGACTCCACAATATGATTTATTGGTATAACTCAGCTGTAACCAGGGCAACGTGGCTTTTCTGACCCATTTTCTATCACACCTTGAGAAACACAACCAAATACCCCTCCATTAAAGTCCGGTAGCAGCTTTAAACCAGTGATTCTGGACTGGAGACAAACATGGTCACGATATACAATAATAACTATTTGACGGAAGATGTAGGGTTTATTTTAGATGCTCTATCTGGTTTATTTTTGTAAAAGCGTGACATTTAGAGTGATTTTGTGGCTTCATCAGGAGACCAGGGAAGGACATGTGACTTGGTAATGACGCAGAGTGACCGAGCGGAGGACTAACCCACCCCTCTGGTCCACCAGGAGTAACCAACAGAAAACACACACACACTGAACGCACTGCAAGGAAACACACACGTTCCCTCAGGGCCTCCAAACACAATCAGCCGAGGAGAAAGTGCACTCGTCCTCGCAGACAGAAGTTAAAAATAACTGCCCCAGCCAGAAGTCCACACATACGCACACTTTGTACACACAATGTCCTCACAAACACACACACTCCACCCAGCTCGCTATATTAAACTACCTGCTATCGGCGGGAGGTAGGCTATGAGCAGCATGCAGGGAAAACTTGTTAATCTGCAAACCCTCAGGTGGATTGAACCGGTGAAATGTCAGCGAGACGATGATGCACAGTGTGATGTCTGCTCATATAATGCATGCGCATGCTGGGTCATCATTGGACTTGTGTGAACATCGAAGTGGAAAGCCTAAATTATGTAGCGCTTTATAGACTATATATCAAATCAGACTGATGCAGGAGTTTTGCGGCGACCATGCATATTAGAATTTCAGAAAACCTAAACAAATATATAAATACAGGGGATAATAACTACTATTTTGTTTGTTTTTTATGGTTTATCATACTTGACCTTGAAATCAAAATTCAAGTCCAAATCAGGCTGTATGCTTGTTTTTTCCAAAATGTGGTGAAAAGCTGTGGGAAAACAACTAAGTGGACCTTGAGTTAGGTTTGTTGTCATATTATTCATCTAAATTAATAAAAATAGAACAGTAAATAGTACATATCATTGGAGTGATGGTCCATGTGAAATATATTAGATTCTACTGTTACGACCCTGGTCGTTATGTGTATTGTGTGTAGAGATTTTTCCCTCCTCCTGTGTGTGTGTGTGTGTGTGTGTGTGTGTGTGTGTGTGTGTGTGTGTGTGTGTGTGTGTGTGTGTGTGTGTGTGTGTGTGAGCAAGCAGGTGGTGCCCGTTAGCTGATTAGCTACCTTCAACAGGCTGATTGGTCCACCTGAAGAAGAGGAGAGCATTTAAGCTGCAGCCATGCTGTCACTCTGCCCTCTCTCTGACTCAGCTTCTCCTGCTCCCAACTGTTGCATATTTGTATCTGTCCTTTTGTACTTCTGTCCTTGAATATTTTGTAAAACTTGAAAGGATAGACATAACTTTGACCTGTCCTTGTTGGACACGCCGTAAGTCTACGTGAAAGTGTGAAGCCCTTTTCCTTTTGGTTGATTCTCGTTCTCTCCTGTTTTTACGTCAGTGTAGGAAAGAGTCCTGTATGTTTATTTTCTTATTTGTTAGGCAAGATTTTTGTGTTCAGAGATTTGTTTGTTTTGTGGGTTGTTGCACTTATTTGTTAAAAAGAAAACTTTGGTAATTAAATTGACCAAACAGCATTCACTGTCTCATTGTCTATGTTCTTGGGAGTGGGAAAAGAGGAGAGAGTGCACACTTTGTGTTGCGCCTGGGCGTAACACT